GGTTCGTACTTTGTGCAACAATATTATCAGGTACTTCAACAGCAACCTGATTATGTTCATCAGTTTTATACTGATGCCAGCTCTATTGTGAGAGTTGATGGTGATTCAAGTGAATCGGCTTCTGCTCTTGTGGTCAGATTCTCGCTTCTTTTATCCTTTTTTTTTTGCTTAGTAGAATCCTAGACTTCCATTATTTTTCGAGATTTGATCTAATTGTGTTATGTCCTCACTTGTGTGGGATTACACTAGGTTGTTGTTGTTGTTGTTGATCTAATTCTGTTATGTATAACAATTAAAAAAACTTACAAATCAATACATAGTTGTTAAATAATTGGACTATCGTTCATATACACTCAAATCCTGGTAGAGGCAAAAGGCACTAGGTGATTTCTTCTTATTTGCCTAAGTCCCAGGTGATTCCTTTCATCTGCCTAAGCTCCTAGGTGATTCTTCTTATCCGCCTAAGCTGGTAGAGAAGAAAAAAAGTTACCCGGTACATGTGTTAGTGGGAGGCATAAGGTACTCCTTGAAATAGTCGAGGTGCGTGCAGGGTAGCTCGGACACCACCATCATACAAAAATCGATCAAATACTCCTTTCATAAAAAAAAAAATTGATTAATTATGCCTCATTCCAAAACTAGATAAGGTCTGCTATATGGATCCTTCGTATCCCCCTACCAACAAAGGAAAGGCTGATGGAAGGAGAGAGGTGTGGCGGGGAAGGAAAGCACTTTCTGAGATTGATATTTTTTTCCTATCTTTTTTTTTTGTCCTATCAAAAGTGAGGGAAGGGGGAGGAATGGAAAGCTCACATTGTTGATGGGACATTCACATTATCTCCTTTTCCTCTCATGCTCCCTTGTTTCTGGGTTGGTAAAGGTTCAACACACAAATCTTATTTCGAAGTGCTCTTTGAGGTCATATCATTCCACGACTAGTGAATTATCTGTCTTTTTAAGGCAAATTGGGAACTTTAGGAAGCTAGTGGTTGTCTAAAACTTCCAACGGAGAACGGACCTAATGTACGGAATTTTATTTCTACTTAGATTTGCATTATTTTCTTGATTTCTCATTTGTCATTCAATAGATTCTACCATTTAATTCTATTGTGATAATAATTGCATACAACGGCGAAGTGAAGAGAGAAATGCATCATGTAGATTGTCAATGATGAAATGATGCACTTCATGCTTAATATCCCACCTTGATGTCTAGATCTTGCTTGTCCTGAAGGGCTTTTCTGATTAAATTGGTGCTTTTTCACTGATTGCTTACCAATGATAAGCCCCGTAGAATGTAGGTTCCTCCATCTACCTTGAGAGAAACAGAGAAGAGAAGCGAAATTATAAAGTGTTTAGACATTTAGATTTAATCTGCTGGTTGTCTACCTTTATCATAGGTGGCTGCAAACGTGTATACCTTTTCATGCCATATACAGTTGAACACCTTTTGAGAATGCCACCATCTTATGTGTTATTCACTATTGATATATGGATATTATCTGAATAAACCAATCAACTACACCTCAATCCCACACTAGTTGGTATCAGCTATGTGAATTTATTTCTCTCCATGACATCTATTTGAGCCATCTCTTTCTGATACAAAATAATTTTTCTTTTACGGCAAATCAGGGGTTCTCTAGATTCATAAGCGAAGCTATTGGCTTTCGCTTTGCTAAATCGGATCGGAGATGATTCGAGCATCAGTGTTTATATATATGATATATGAGAATGAGATTTCATATCAATATATGGGTACACTGATCTCCGTGTGATATTTGTTTTGTAATTTTCTTTTTACGATATTTCTACTCAGCTTGAAAAGAAGCCTCTCTTAAGTTCAAGAGTTTAGAAAGGCTCTTAGCATGGGAAGGAGCTCAGACTTCCTTAACATACAAGGCTCTAGCCAGCGTAATGTGATTGAACAATAACTCTAACATATACCTCTTCTAACCAATGTAGGACTGTATACTAGCTCTTTTACGCCATTCCTCTGCCTCCTAAGTTGGAAATAGCAGGCGGATTTTATTTATATAAAAATAGGTGTTGGAATGTACCATGTGGATCTCCTGTTTTTTCTAAGAATGCTTGTACATGTTTTTTCGGATGCTTTGAAGGATCTGGCACAATTAGATTCTTTTGTATTTTGTGGAAATGGGTTGTACCGTACAACTAGTCGCATTACCAGATTCTCACTAGAATTCTGAAGAAAGTAATGAGGACTCTGGTTCTCTGATATAATGGAGAGTTGCTGTCCCTATTTAAGTTTTTTTGTTGAAAGGATCTTGTTGTTGCTTATGACTATTACTCTATTTAGTTTCTAGCTAACCTTATTTCCTTGCTTGAGGTAGTGTAACTAGCGTTATTTTGTTGTTAATCTTATCATGTGTATGTCTTCACTGTACAGCAAATTCATACTCTAATCATGTCAATGAGTTTCTCTGGAATTAAGATCAAGACGATAAATTCTCTTGAATCTTGGAATGGCGGTGTTCTTGTTGTGGTCTCTGGTTCTGTCAAGCTGAAGGATCTCAGTGGGTGGAGGAACTTTGTGCAAACATTTCTTCTTGCACCTCAGGAGAAGGGTTACTTTGTTCTGAATGATGTCTTTCATTTTGTTAATGAGGAGGGGAGTGAGCTTCCTCAAGCACCAGTAGGTTTACAGAACAATCTTGATGCTCAACCAACTGCTTCTTATCCTCTTGCAGAGCCACCAGGTATTGTTACATCTGGCCTGTATAAGATGCTAAACATGCCAAGATTTGTTTTTAGTAACAACCTCAGTTTCCTATTTTTTGTATTAATAATTGAAAATTTCAAAGATGGAAAGAGCTCCTTGCTCTCAGTTATTGCCCCATTATGGTTCTCTTTTTTATGTATGAGAGGGCTAATGTTACCTTTACACTGTACCAAGGGATATTTGGAACCAGTGTCACCTCTTTTAGTTTCCACTCGAAACTGTGGTGCTCCCATTTTCCCCCCCTTTTCTGTGTAAAGGGTGTGGGAGGGGACAACTGCAGGACTTTATGCTGGTTTTAGTTGCATGTCCTTTGTCCATAACTTTCTCTCTCAGATATTTAGCGAGCGTTCTCAAAAGCATATTTGATACTTGACAATGTTAGCATATGACTTGACTCGTTATAACTATATTTGCAGCCCATGACTATGCCTTAGAGGTGGAGGCAATTGAATATGTAAATTCAGTTCATATACAAGGGAATGATGGTGTTGAAGAGTATAGTTATCCAGAGCATGATCACGAGCACCAATCTGAAGCTGAGGCTGAGGCTGAGGCTGAGGCTGAGGCTGATGAGCCTGAGGCAGAGTCTGAGGCTGAGGCTGAAGTGCCAGAGGAGGCTCATTTGGGAGAAGAAACTGCTCAAGTAAGGTCATTAGAGGAGGAAACTGCTTTGCCAAATAATGTGGTCAAAGTCGTGCCAGAGCCTGAGCCTGCTGCAGAAGAACCTGTTGGAGAGCCTTCAAAGTTTAGTTATGCTGCTATTGTAAGTACATCCATCTTGCGCGCACCTTACGACTTGATCTGCATTTGTCTCTTTATGCACGAGTAATAGATCCCTTTATGGTCATTTAACCCTGCCAGATAATTGCACGAATATTAGATCTTACAGTAGGTGCTTTGATACATTATTTTAAACAGCAACTTGTCTATTACATGGCGTCTTGATCAGTTTGAATATTGGTTGGTATATTGGGCACATATCTTAAGTGAGAACTTCTTGTATAGAGTATAGACAGTGGATGAACAAAAGTAGATTCATCCACGTGTAGAATATACTTGGTGAAAGGAAGCAGTAAACAGTAATATTAGTAGAAATTTGTCCAATTTTTTATTTTGTTTTGACTTCTGGCCCTTGTTAGTTCCTGGAACTTAACTGTAGACGTAGAATTATCGTAAGGTGTCTGCAATGGTCTTTTGTTCTTGATTTCTATTTGTAAAGAGCTTAACTGGACATGGCATTTAATTGATCTTTTTTCCCGAAACACGGCATGTAATTTGATTGATAGTTAAGAGCTCCAAAAGGAAAACCCGCACCATCAATTCGTATCCAGCCATCTTATACCCAGACTGCACCACCTGTTTTGGAGTGGCAACCTCCTGTTGAGCAGTCACGCTCCATGTCCCCAGCTGTGCCGAATGCCAGTCTTGACCTGGCAGATGAAGGATCATCTCAAGAAGGTAATACAATTACACTACATCTTAAGGTGTCATTATTCATAACAATTATAACATCTCTGAGTTCCAGCAAGTGATAGAATGTGCTTTAGCATTCTTAGCATTCAATTTATGTATTGTCGAGGTTAGCTTTACTATGACTTTCTTCTGCCTTCCCCAGGGGAACCAAAGTCTGTCTACGTGAGGAATTTGCCATCTACTGTATCTTCTCTTGATATTTTGCAAGAGTTTAAGAACTTTGGGAAGATCAAGCAAGATGGAGTATTCTTAAGAAACCGCACGGTTAGTATATTTGGTGCTTCCTTATCTTGTTCCTTGTTGTCTATGCATGCTAATGTTTGGATTGCAATGGATTAACAGGATGTTGGCGTTTGCTATGCCTTTGTTGAGTTTGAAGAAGTCCAAGGTGTACAAAATGCAATCAAGGTTTGAACCTCACTAAGTTCGAGACTGTAATTTGGTCAACTTTTTCAATTGCTCGATATGACTCATTTAGGTGTACCTTATCCCTTGATGTGACTCTTCATAACTGTTCACTTCAACTTTTATGTTGGCTTTCTTTAGCATTTATACGATGCATGTTTGAGATGTTTTAGGTTATATGGTAATTTCTATAATGTTCTTGTTTTTAATGGTTATGGATCTGTGATCCATTAGTAGATGTTGGAAATCTTGTGGAGATATTCACTTGAGACATATTGGAGCTGAAGTTAGTTGTCTCAAGTTATAGCATCTCCATGACTTCATCTCATTGTGTTTGACATACTTACTATTTGAAGAATCAAATGCATTCTTTTTACCATCTGTCCAAGCGTTACCCAGTACCTGTGCTGGTAAGAGGTAGCAGGTACCCTGTGGAATTAGTCGAGGTGCGCACAAGTTGGTCCGGGAACCACGTTTATCAAAGAAAAAAGAATCTGAGACATTCTTCTCTGACACGAACTGCCTGTTGTTATCTTTGTATTCTTATATTTGTCTTAGTAAGTTCTTCCGCAATAATTAACCCGATTGATTTCTAAATTTAGACCCTAAATTGATCGGTTTCATTTTTGTACTCCGGATTAGATTATTCTTTCTGGGTGGGGCTTAGATTTCATGATTACTGTCATATGTTTATATTCAGGGATTGTCTTTATATGTCGTGTGAACCTTCGTTATGTCTAGTATATCATACAATTTTTCTTCCTACTTGCTTAGGCATCACCAATACAGTTGGCTGGAAGGCAAGTCTACATTGAGGAGAGGAGACCAATCAGCAGTAGCACTTCTCGTGGAGGAGGAAGTATGTGCCTCAAAACTGATATCAATTTTAAAATGTCTTGATCTTATTTTTATGTTACCCTTGGATATTTGACGGAATTCTTTGCCTTGACATTTAACCTTCATTTGTTAGTCCATTTTTCTGAAGTGGACATGGGTAGGAAATATTCCCCTTACTGTTATTTTAAGATTGGGAGGTCAATTTTAAAATTCTAAAGATGGTTGTTCAGTTCTCATTGAGTGGGAAGCATGTGATAATAGAATTTCTCATTTGCTTGGACTAGAATTGGTGATGGAATAATGTGGATACTATGTGTCAGGACAAAAGCTCACTTGGTGAAGAGTCAAATAGGATCTACGAGGGCATCCACCCATTGAAAATAACACAATTCAGTAGACTTCCCCTTGGTGAAAAGTACTCGTTTACCCTCTAGGGACTCAGTTAAATGCAGTGGTGCGAGAAAACTATGCACTGGTTGTTGCACATGGTATTATAGATAGTGCTTATAAGGTTTAAGGTGTTGAACAAGAGGTGAGCCCATTGAAGGGAAGTCTGGGTTGGTGGCGGACTAGGACAGAATTAAACAAAAAAGAACCCCGAATTGGCATGCCCATTAATTTTGGTTTCCCTAGTAGTGTCCTCAGCCTAAATCCAATGTGGGATATGAGTCTTGGGCTTGTACCAACCTGAGGTATCACACATGGCTAGGCTCTTTTTATGTCAATACCCCTCTGCTCGGCATAAGGAGTCTCTGTATGGTATATAAGAGTGTGCAGTTTTTTTTCTATATGATTGTTCCATTTGTTAACTGAATTTGCCCTTCTACATCTGCCTTGGTTCATGAGAAATTTTATTGTATGAGTGCAGATAGCTGATAAAGGAAGTGGTAATATAATTGCTATCATTTGGTTAAAAAACTGTAGTGTTTGTTGCTGTTTGGTTTGCGTATTTGACCCTCTTTCGCTAACATTCTTCTCTAAATGCCTTGATCAGGATCAGGAAGGGGAAGAGGAAGAGGAGGTCGTCCTGGGGGGCGAACTTTTGGTAGGGGAAGCAATCCAGATGACAGAGTGAAGAGCAATGGCTTTCGTGGTATATGATGATACTAGAGCATGAATGGCCAAACTTGCATACTAAGTTACGATTCTGGTGTTGGGATCAATAAGGAACGTGGTTACTGGTTAGCTTTTATATTTTTGATGTTATTGTCTTTCTATGGAAGGATTATATTGCTACCAGTTCTCTTTTCCCCGAGCATTTGAGAGAGATTTCCCCATCTTTCTCCTGTAGCTTAAGGTGTGTTAGTATTCTGCTCTTAATTCTTTTTTGTCTTGCAATTCTAGAGGCAATACTTATATTTTTGGAGTCATGCAAAGTGAGAAATACTGAGCATAGCTGAAAGTTTGGTCTATGGGGTTATCTAGTCCTCCACTTCTTTTCTCTGTGTTTCAGAATTATCATGATGTCTTTATACTTGTTATAATGGAAACAGTCGGTCCATCAGAAAATCCAACATTCCCCTGTGGATACTTGCATAAGCTGCACGTATATGGCTGTTAAGACGTATAAAAGTAGTAAGCTGTTAATTTAATATACACGATGATTCGTGAGTATTATTTATGTAGTGATTGTTGGCCTTAAATAGAATAGATCAAGGTTTAAATTTCAGCGCAGAACAAAAAAATGCTAGGTGATTTCTTATTTTCTGCGTAATTGTTTTCTTTGATTTAGTAAATTAGTTCTCAGCTGCGCAAATTTTTGTTCCCGGCTATTGCCTTCATGCCTGTTGACTCTGCCCTATTGCAGCCAAAGGCGGATGTAGTCTTAGAAAAGTAGCTTCGTCAACTTGACTTGTGTATCTATAAATTTATATATACTCATATTAAGTTAACACCTATTGTCGCAACATAGCAGTGGGAATGCTATTATGCACTTAACGTCTCGTATCTATGGATGCCATCAACAGCACTAGCATCAGCTACTCTTAGCCATCTTGCAGGATACATATCTCCTCTACCCTCTGCCACTTTTAACAACTCACAGCTCATTTCCTCTTTTATAACGTTATTGGGCATACAGGATCATCTTCTTTTTCGTGATAATTTCTGAATTATGAAATGAGAAAAGATGAGATGGGTTCCAACATGGAATTGTGGGGTTCAAGTAGAAAACTTCTGGGGTGGTAGTTTCAAAGGCTGAATTATGGAAGCCATTAGTCGAGTCAAGATCCTGTCATTGCCCACAAACCGAAGGAGATATGAGAGAGTTAGAACTTACTGAATCGTGGAGAAATATGCATATATTTGTAGAGATGAATGAATTCAGCAGCTAAAACGTGTAAAGCCAAAAGTTGCAACAACTTGTTCTTGCTGGTTTTTATCTCTTCAGTATAAATTTTGATGGATATTCGAATATCCATTTGACACTTTATTACTACGTCCAAAATTTAATTAAACTTTTCTGCTTTTTTGGCCTTAAAAGTTTTCTTCGAGAGAAGGGATAATTGATCATTTGTCATTATTGTACAGTTATATTTGTTTTTGTTACGATATATAAATTCCACTACTCCTCTCTTACTTAATGTTGAAGGCAAGTAATCACAAGAAAAATTACGAAACAAGCTTCATTTGCCGGGAAAGAAGAAAAACGAAAAGCAAGCAAGCAAAACAAAGAGTCGCATCAACATGATTGGTTAGTACCAGTAGGATGTCTATTTAGAGGGGGAAATGAAAACTTGGAAGAATATAGGACCGCACATCTTCACTTTGCTCTTGAAAAAAAAAAAAGACAAATACCTTCGGGGCTTTAGTCGAGTTGTAAAAGCACAGCGCATGTTGTATGAATCAGGTGTAGCGTAAGGCATGTTGTGTGGATTAAGAATTTAGCGCATGCTGTATAAATCAGGTATAACGTAAGGCATATTGTGTGGATTAGGAATATGTCACATGTTCGAACTCATTATCCTCCGAATATCGATAATACTGTTATGAAATAAAAGCAACTTAGTAAAATATGAACAAGACATGTTGTTATGAAATAAAAGCAATTTAGTAAAACATGAACAAAAAAATGGAGATAGAGAGAAGGAAGAAGTTTTCTTCTTCAATTGTGTGTATTTTCCTATCTATTACAAGGCCTTTATATAGGCATGAAAAGTGAAGAAAAATATGTCATTGAATATGTCATTAAGCATAGAAATATGTCATTGAATATGTCATTAAGCATTTGAGAAGATCATGGATGAAGAGTAGACATCCACTATAATTTGATTTTTCTTATAACACTCCCCCTTGGATGTCCATAGATAATGTGCCTCGTTAAAACCTTATTAGGAAAAAATCCTATGGAAAAAAAAATCCTAGTGAAGGAAAAAGAGTACACATGTTTAGAAATACGTCTTTTGGTTGCCTCGTTAAAAACCTTGCAAGGAAAACCCAGTGGGACAAAATCTTGTAAGAAAAAAAGAGTACAACGCGTATTAACTCCCCCTGATGAGAGCATCAATTCACATCCTTGAGCCTTCGCATCCCAATCTTGTATACTAGTTTCTTGAAGGTTGACGTCGGTAGAGATTTGGTGAACAAATCAGCCATATTGTCACTTGAGCGGATCTGTTGCATATTAATATCACCATTCTTTTGAAGATCATGTGTAAAAAATAACTTTGGTGAAATGTACTTTGTCTTATCCCCTTTTATGAATCCTCCCTTCAATTGGGCTATGCATGCTGCATTATCTTCATACAAAATTGTGGGTAATTTGTCACACTTCAAACCACATTTGTCTCGAATAAGATGTATTATAGACCTCAACCATGCACATTCTCAACTTGCTTCATGAATAGCAATTATCTCAGCATGATTAGATGAAGTAGCCACGATTGATTGCTTAGTCGATCGCCAAGATATGGCAGTGCCTCCATATGTAAACACATAGCCTGTCTGAGATCGAACCTTTTGTGGGTCATATAAATACCCAGCATCAACATAACCAACAAGATCAGGACTGCAATCATTGCCATAAAATAATCTCATACCGGTAGTCCCTTTTAGATACCGCAATATGTGTTTGATTCTATTCCAATGTCTCCTTGTAGGAGCAGAGCTATATCTTGTTAAGACATTAACTGAAAAAGTTATGTCAGACCTTGTAATGTTAGAAAGATACATTAGTGCACCAATTGTACTAAGAAATGGTATGTCGGGACCAAGAAGCTCTTCATTATTTTCATGAGGTCGGAATGGATGTGCTTTATCCATATAAAATCGCTTTAAAATTATTTTAGTGTATGTTGATTGATGGACAAAAATTTCATCTTTCATATACTCAATTTGTAGACCAAGATAAAATTTTGTCTTTCCAAGATCTTTCATTTCAAATCTTTCTTGAAATAGTCTACTACTTTAGGAAGCTCTACTGCTTTAGGAAGCTCCCTAGGAGTTCCAATGATATTTAAATCATCAACATTCACGGTGATTATAATAAATTTAGATCCAGATCTTTTTATAAATACACAAGGACAAATTAAATCATTCTTGTACCCTTCTTTCAACAGGTACTCACTTAGGCGATTATACCACATGCGCCCTG